GTAGGGTAGTTTTATTAATAAAAAAGTATATGTGGATTTTAGTAGGTATTATAGATTTAAATAGAGACCCCAAATTTTAGCATCAGCCGTTTTCAGCATCAGCTGTGACAATAATTGTGCTGGGAGTCATCGTAACAGACCAGATAGAAAATAAATAGGTGATCCTAGCCTAATTATTTAGCCAGTGGTTTCCCGCCTGCCGAAGCAGGCCGGCTGTTTAAACGGCAAATCATGTGATTATTATGTGATTATGTGATTATCTTGTGGAGGGATAGGGTGGGGCTGAAACTTTTTGATGCTTGTAAGATGGAGTTGGTTAGAGTTAGGTAAAGCATATTTATATAGTTTGGGTGGTATGTGCCTGTTTCTGCTGGGACCTATGTTTTAATGGCCGATGGGTCATCTGCATAACGTTAGGAGTGGTTTGCATTGCCTGTGTGTGGCGCCGGCTTGCCAATCGTCTTGATTAGTTGATTGTGCTGCATGATTAGTGCCCTGGTGCCCCATACAGTTTTGGGTTAGTGCTCCGGTGCCCTGTGTGGTTTGGGTTAGATCGGTGCTTAGTCTGGTTTTTTGAACTGTTGACTTTTGTCAACATATACGAAAAACATAGACACACGCCTCATTTATTTGGAGTAATGCTGGCTGCGATAAGAGCCAGAGATAATTTTATTAAAGATAGATGTGAAGTGAATAAGAGTAATAGGAACTGAAATGATGATTATCCTGAAAAGATAGCAATAATAATTGCACTGGGAGTCATCATAACAGATTAGATAGAAATTAAATAGGCGATCCTAGCCTAATTATTTAGCTGGTGGTTTCCCGCCTGCTGAAGCAGGCTGGCTGTTTGAATAGCAAATCATGTGATTATTCCAAGAGGGTTTATTGATTCTGCCATTCGTTGTTGTCATTTTTTTTTTTTTTTACAGTGTATATATGTATGTTTATTATTACTATTATTATTATTGAGTACGTTTCGTTTGTTTCTGTGTGTGTACGTTCATGTGCCTGAATAGGTTGTTTGTATTTCACAGGATCTCTCTCTCTTTTTTTTTTTTTGCTTTTGTTTGTGCGATTGTTGTTGTTAAGTGCTGGTTTTCTTGTGCATTGTTTGGTTTGTTTTTTTTTTTTTTTTCTTTTTTATTTTTATTATTATTATTTTTTTTTATTTTTTATTTTTTTATTTTTTATTTTTTGTATATGTATATATATCGTAGGGTTGGTGAACTGATTGATGTGAGTGTCTGTGTCTTTGTTGAGTGGGTATTTGTATCTCATGCGCTTGTTGTGCTTGTGTGTCCTGATCTTTTGAGCTAGCACCAATTAACCAGGATTTGTTCCTAGTTGTTGAAGTGGGGTTAATTGGTGTAGGCTTTGATTGGAATTGAAGCAATTGTGGCGGGGTGGCTTCGGATGTACCTGTAAAAGGCGTCCGATTCCCATCTTCCAATTTTTTGGATTATTACTAGCTGTACACCTTGGGATGCTAATTCAGTAGTGCCTTCTGCATGGAAACTGTGTTCGGTGACATCTTCGTTGGGAAGGAGTTTTTTAAGTTTGTTTATAAACCATTGCTTTGAGGCCCACGAGCTATTGGGTTTCATGAAAAGCATCAAGTTGTTTTTTGCGTATGTTGGATGTGTTCGTAATTGAATGTAGATCTTGAGGGTGCATATAGGGCAGATATTGTCATTGGTTGGGTTGATTATTAGAGACACCCGGTTTGCTGTCTTATGGTTTTTTGTTCTTGAGAGTTGAATGATTGCGTAGGTGTTATTTCCGGTTTTTTCGAATCTTAGTGCTTGTGTGGTCGAAACTTTGGTGTTGTTGGATTGGCTGCTTGGGAGTAGTTCGCCAAGACGAGCGAGTCCGTAAAATGCTGTGAGTGAAATAGTCCAAAACAAGATGTTTGTAGAATTTTCCATGTTAAGTTTGTTTTTAATGCAGGATAGGTGAAACTGAGTAATATGGGCTTTCTGTTTTACTGGGTTGTGGATATATGTTACATCGATGGTTTTTAAGAGTTGAATAACTAAAGGGTCAGTTCGGATATGGGTCCAGTCGTAGAGATTTCTTGTATGATAGTATTTTAGTGCGGAAAGGTATGATGTAATAGTAGGTGGGAAATGAATTTGTGTAACCATGTTATGAATTTAACTAGAGAGTCTTTCGATATCAGCCAGATGGAACCATCAAGGTTGAACCATTTGTTGGATGTTGCCAAATCTTCATAATGTCTGATGGTTGCTTTGTATGATTTGTTGATAGTGTTACAATGCTATAGCCTTCTATCAACAATATAGCAGAGTAACAAGGTCACTCGCTGTAGAGAAACCTATGTTAGGAATATACAGGGAGTGGAGTAAAGTATTTACTATACTTTACAGCAGTAGGCAAATAGTTTGGGATAGTAACGGTATATTATATAACTTTATTAAACACAGATGATGGTGATAACCTTGCCTGTAGGATTTACCCTAGAGGGGGAATATCACACTATACAAATATAAGAAGAGTAAGATAAGATAAGACTAGATTCTATGAGAGGGTAAGGAACTCTAACTTGAGCAGAAGGGGAAAAGGCTCTCTTTTTATAATTTTTCTACACATAGGAGGTGTAACAGAATAACTGCCAAACCGTGTAGAAGTAGATAAAGATACTTGTGTAAAAGGTACTGAGAGATACTTGTGTGAAGGTACTGAGAGGTACTTTGTGTAGAGGTACTGAGAGGTACTGAAAGGTACTGAGAGGTACTCATGTGCAGGTACTGAGAGGTACTTGTGTACAGATACTGAGAGGTACTGAGAGGTGCTGAGAGGTACTCATGTACAGGTACTGAGAGGTACTGAGAGGTACTCGTGTACAGGTACTGAGAGGTACTGAGAGGTACTTGTGTACCTAGCTATAATGTTACTGTGCCTTATTTTCCAGCCAATAAATCTATATAACTAATATAATAATATACAAGATAATATAATAATAATATGATAACTATATAATAAAATATAACTAATATAATAATAATAATAATACAATAAATGAAATATATAATTTATATTATGCTATCATAATATTACATTGTACTACAACCTTCTTTGTAACAATAGAAATTGGGATGTTGAGAATGGATGTAGCTTCTTGTCTAGGGTTTCTTGACTGGCGAAGGTATGTAATATAGTTGTGTAGTTTGATTGGGGCTATAGTATAGGAATTGCATTGGGGCTGACTATTATTTTAGGGATGGAATTAGAGAGATTAGGTTTGAAAATTCAGGAGGTATATTGGGTTGGAGGTATTTGGTTAAAGGGTTGTTGGGAATGTATTCACGATACCCGTTTCGAAATAGCAAGTCTGTGTCTTTGTTTTTTGCTCCAGGTATGTGTTGGATTTTAATAAAGAAGTTTCTGAGGATTTGTTCCTTGTATATGCAAGCAATGATGTCGTTAATGTCCAGATTTTTGCAATAACTGGCATAGTACGATTCTGCATTGGCAGAATTGTCGGTCCAGATAATGAGTTTCTGCCTCTCCCACATGGGGCGAAGGTACATACTGCGATTAGTGTGGTTAATAATTCACACAATTGTATGTTAATTATTGTTAAGTTGATTGATTTGGCCCAGTTGAAAGCAGTAAAATAGTTCAGGTATGTCGTGCTTCCACCTATGTTGGATACGTCGGTGTGTAGATTTAGAGTAAATGGGCTACACCAGTCTTGATCCTGTAAAAGCTGAATGCCCGGCCAGGTTTGTAAGGAAGAGATCCACCATTGAATATTAGATGTCATAGATTTGGTCACATGGATGTGGTGTCGTGGGTTGTTAGAGGAGTTTTGTACTTTAATGAGTCGTTGCGTGAAGGGGTGGTCTTGGGGTATAATTTGACATGCCCATACCAGTGAGCCCACTAGTGATTGGAGTTCTTTTAACTGGCAGTTTTCCTTGCTAATTCATTGTTTTAGTAGTAGAATTAGTTTGTCCTGCTTTTGTGGTAGTATGGATGCGGTCATGGTGACTGTGTCGAGCTTTATGCCTAGGAAGATAATCATAGTGCTCAGCCCTTCTAGTTTTGTGTCTTTGTAAGGTATGTTCATGGTATCTAAAATTTGTATAAATTGTCATAACTCTCGTGACTCATCGGTTGGTGAGATAATGAGGAAGTTGTCAACATAGTGAATTATGGCTAGGATGCCTTGTGACGTTATCTATGCTATTGTATCAGCGAAGCAGCAGAAAATGCCACCAGACACACAGTTGCCAAAAGTGAGAACTTTGTCGAAAAATATATTGTCTTTATGGCAGAAACCTTGTAATATCTAGTCTATTAAGTAGACAGGCAGTATACGATATACGTCTTTTATATTGATTTTTGAGAGGGTGCAACTTTTGCCAAAATAGTTTATCCATTTGATTGCATGTGTTACTGTTTTGTATCAAGTTGCGAATTATAATTTGTTGATTCTGTTGTTTATGCTATTGTTTGCTGGGGATGACAAGTGGGAAATGACCTAGTACGCGGTTGGGTTTGTATCTTTTTTCTCAACCAATCCGCAAGGTTGGTTTGGAAAATATCACATGGTGGGTTGTTTAGGTGGAACAGACCACATATACATTTGTTTGCTAGTTCAGTTTTTATATAAGTGTCGAATGCTTTTGAAGCTGTATCGATCGATTACAGGTTTTTTTGGATAATTTTAGTTCGGGTGCCTCTGAAATTGAACCTGAAACTGTCTTTAATCCCGTTGACTAGGTATTCAATAAAAGGTCAGTTGGGATGATTTGCTGTTAGATATTGGAATGCTATGATGTTTATCGGGGTTTGTATATTAAAATGTTTTAGATTTAATTGTGATAATAGGTGTAGCTCCATATTGTCTAGAGGGATAGTTGGTGGGAGTACTGCCGTTATAGTCTCGTTGACCGATTGGAGCGATGGGGCTTCGTCTGTTGTAATATTTTGGGATAGCTTGAATTGTGCCGCATGCACTAAATTGTTCTAGGTGTGAACGTCTATTCATTATTGGTGTGTATAAATGAAGGTCTATATTAGTGGTGCGGTTTTTTTTTTTTTTTTTTTTTTTATCTGGAGCCCTTTAAGAACTATGATTATACCCGCAGTCATTTTAGTATTATTAAACGTATGCAATTTATTTGAGTATATATATACATGTATAACAGCTATATAACTTTGTATATATAGAGCTTGAATCAATTATGTTAAGGTTATTGTGTATCTGATATGAGTGGATCGATGGTATCAACCTTTTTGGGTATTCGATATTTTCTAATACTGGGTTCAATTTTTTTTTTTTTTTTTGCATTCAATACGATTCCTTTCCTCCTCACATGCGTATATATATTTCTTGTGATGCATCTTATTATTTTTTTTTTTTAGGTAATGATGTGTTTGTTTGCATTAATCATCTAATTCTTCTCTTTTTTTTTTTTTTAATAAAACTATCTCTCGTTTTTTTTTTTCTTAAAAACAGATTGTGTGCTACTTGTTCGAACCGTGGTTATAACTCTGGTTGTCTGGTTGTTTCATTGATAGCGGCTTGTTAAGAAAACACCTTCTTTCTGGGTGGCTAAGCTTCTTGTAATTTAAACAGGTATAAACACGAGGGCAATTGGCGTCTTCAGAACAGCCTCTTTTGTTTCAATTTAAGCATATTTGTTACCATCGTGCCAGGTAATGTCTAACTTGAAATTTCTAGATACGTTGTTAGTGCGGGTCTTTTTGGTCGTGGTTATATCAAAATTTTTGCCCTCAGCTTCGATGTTGCGGTTGAGTAGAATGGTGTCATGATTTCCTATTAGGTGAATTCTGCGATCCTCATCGTAGTTTAACACAGCCGAAAATTCTTGTTTAATACATAGAGTACTAATATAGTCATGGTATAGGTTTAATTCGTTTTCTCTTATCTCATATATTATTAATACTGCATCTATATAAGATTTAAAAGCTAGAAGCCAGTCGTCGATATCGTTAAATTTTTGGTGGCAGCTTCGTTTTTGAAGAGTGATGGTACTGCCTTCGTTGGTCAAGATAGATTAATCATCGTCATTGTTCTAAGGTAGGCTTTCAGATTTTTGTATGCAAATTCATGGAGGTTAATGTAACTGCCAAAGGCAATTGTTTTCCATAGGCGCATGAGTAGGCTCGGTTTATTTGGTAAGGTTTCAATTAGTTTTTGGCCTTCTGACCAATTGAGGACCCACCAAATGCAGATTCATTCTATTTGTGCCGCAGTGGGGTTGTTGAAGCCACTGATGGTTGAGAGGTTGTTTAACTCTGTATAGTCAAGGGAAAGATATGTTCTTGTGGTTGTTTTGGTTTTTATTGTATTTGTTGCTTTGTTTTAGATGTGGGGTGCAGTGCTGTTCTCGTTTTTTGAGCTAGTATTGTTGGTGTCTAGAAGTAGATTGTTAAGAAGGGAAGTGAGGGGATAGTTACCTTGCTAAGTAGTATCATTATTGCTATTGTTTCTTTGTTGTGGTTGGGTGTCTTGACGTTGACTGATCATAGGGGAAAAATTATGGTTGTGCTGTGGGTTGGTTTGTTCTTGGTTCTGGTTAAAGCTGTTGAATTGAAGGTTAGATTTTTGTTGGTGGCTAAAATACGTGTCTATACGTTTGTTTAATTTGTTAATTAAATCCAGGTGTGTTTGCATCAAATGATCAATATAGGTCTTAATTGTGTTGATGATTTCGTTGGATAATGCTTGACAGGCAACATCAATGTATGCCTTTGTTTTATTATCGATATCAGATAAATCAGGGTTTATGCCGGAATTGATAAATGATTTGTCTCCTGAATCTTTTGTTTGGTTGCTCATATTGTTTGCCGAAACTTTTTAATACATGTAAGATGGAGTTGGTTAGAGTTAGGTAAAGCGTATTTATATAGTTTGGGTAGTATGTGCCTGTTTCTGCTGGGACCTATGTTTCAGTGGCCGATGAGTCATCTGCGTAATGTTAGAAGTGGTTTGCATTGCCCGTGTGCGGCGCCAGCTTGCCGATTGTCTTGATTAGTTGATTGTGCTGCATTATTGATGCCCCAGTGCCCATATAGTTTTGGGTTAGTGCCCCAGTGCCCTGTGTAGTTCGGGTTGGATCAGTGCTTAGTCTGGTTTTTCGAACTGTTAACTTTTGTCAACATATATGTATAATTATAGATCAGCAATTCTACAATTCTACACGTGTAGAATTGTCGATCATTAAAAGCACACTGTGTATAAAAGTTACGTTTTTGAAGTATGGTAATTCCGAACTTAAATTTATAAATTTGCAATTAATTTAGAGGTTCTATACTATACTTCTTAGGCGAAACCTTTTCTAAATAATGATAAATAACAAAACTTAAAACTAGCAAAGATAAAATGCATCATCATCATCAAATAACGAAGCTATTTGATGATAATGCAATTATAATCAAAATAACTAAGTTATTCTGTTAGTAAGGCACTCTAATTTAATTCTTTGTTTAACATAACAAATTTCAAAATTTTTTAGAGGGGTAGTGTTCCTATGTTCCTGAACTGAACCGAACTTAGGGTAAGTTCAAGTTCAGTTCAAAATTTGAACTGAACCTGAACCTGAACTATAATGAAAAATGGTTCAAGTTTGATATTGATCTTTTAGCATGTGTTCAGTTCAAGTTCATGAACTTGTTCGGGAGTTGGGGTTTGATAATTCATAGCATTGCCTCCAGAAAAATTAAGTTTATAATGCTTGCTTAAACTTTTGCTTTGACTTCACTCATTTAAGTTGAAAAGTTAACATAAATAAACCAATAAATATTCATGGGTCATTTATTCTAAGCATTTAGATTAATAGGACGGACCAAAAAGACTATCACCCTAATAAATAAAATTTTTGTAAGAACATATATATTGAAATTTTAGTGATTATGAGCACTATTATAATATACCTACAAGTGTAAATAGGGCACCATACAACTTTGAGTTCAGATAAGACTAAAATTTTATAATCAATATTTTGGATAAAAATTTTCAGAAAATCAAGTCACAAGAAACATAAATCAACAAGAATAAGAAATTAATAATAGGTACATAGCAAATAATTCAATTAATAAATAATATCGATTGAATCGACTTGAATAAAAAATTGTTTATCAACACAAAATCAGCACTGACAATAAATTAATAAAGCTAATAAAAAGTGCATACATTGTTTTCAAATAGTTTAACATAACAAAGCCATGCTTGGAGTATATAGTTTTACCAATCCATCCTTTTAAGTTTTTGATGAAGACTTTTGACTTGCGCCAGTATGAAATTTCTAGAATTTATCCAATGGCTATATTTGGGGGTTTGCTTTTGCTAGTTTTAAGTTTTGTTATTTATCATCATTCGGAAAAGGTTTCGCCTAAAACGTATAGTATAGTATCTCTAAATTAATTGCAAATATAAATTTAAGTTTGGAATTACTATACATCAAAAATGTAACTTTTATGCATAATGTGCTTTTAATGATCGACAATTCTACACATAGAATTGTAGAATTGCCAATCTATAATTCTACAAGTATAGAATTGTAGAATTACTAAATTTATTAATAATCATCAATTCTACAATTCTACATTGTGGAATTGTAGTAATTATGTCAATTCTATATTATCATGCATGTAGAATTGTAGAATTACTAAATTTATTAACACAATAGAACAACACTCATAAAATTGTGAAACGTCAATTTGCCAAATTTATATTTGGCACTTGATTATCTAATATTTACAAACTATTTTGAGTGAAAAAATGGCCAAAAAAGTCAACTAAATGTTTCATGAATTTGAAAGCGTTGTATATAGTCTCTTGGTTATAGTTATGGTTGTAGTTATAGTTGTGGTTATGGTTGTGGTTATGGTTATGGTTATGGTTATAGTTATGGTTATGCACTCTGATAAACAAAAAGAAAAAGCAAACTAAAAATGGTGAATATATTAACAAATATTCATTGAACTCTTCCCAACAATCACTTGTACCAAATTTTTCATAAACAAAAATTTCTAAAAAAACTTATTTGTAGTTGTAAATATGTGAAGAAAAGGCAGATATCCACAAGTCGGCACCTGTTATTTAGAGATAGTTCTCATATGCTATTTGCTAACTGGTTTAGAGTTTATCACTTATTGCAAGAATAGCACCTGTCATTTAGAAGTAGTTCTCATACGCTACTTGCCAACAAGCTCAAAGTTTATCACTTACCGGTGCAAAAAGCTATCTGTACTCCTCTCTCCCTCAAGTTAGAGTATATACTTTAAGTTGAAGAAAATAAACACTCTTTAAGAAAAGGCTCAAGTGACTCTTCTATCACCTCCTCTGCTTTCCTGCTATTTCTTCAAAATTTTCAATAAAAAGTGGGGATTTGGTTTACTCCCTCCAAAAGATTGGCATTGTTTACTTTCCAAATTCGGACAAGTATAGTAGATTGCAACCACATATCTTGTTTATTTATAGATATGGCGCTACTTTACATGACCAGGATTGGGGTCTCCAGCTAAAATATCCGAGGATAGTCAAAAAGAGAAATTTATATTAAGGTGAAGCTTTACAACAGAGATATACAAATGTTGCATTTGTTATAAAATTTTTTTTAAGCTTGACACGGGCTATAACAGTGCATCTTTAATGGCTCCAAAGTTTTTTAGTAGGGGTATCTTCTAGTCTTTTAGTCTTTTTTTTTTAGTTTAGGTTTTTTACGTTAGACTAGTCTTCTTGCTCATCATGTAGTTTTTTTTCTTTTTTGTTTTTCTTACCCATTGTTCTTGATCAATTATTATTTTTCTTTTTTTGTATTATTTGTTTTCTTGGCTTTTAGTTCTTTTTGTATTACCCCCCTCTTCTTATCTTACTCTTAGTAAATTCTTTGTGATTTAAAGAAATACGAAGGAGAGAGAAAGCCATTATAGTGTGGCAATTGGCTAGTTTAGCATAAGCCTTCTAATCATAAAATTTTAGATTAGTACAGTAGGTTGTACTTGGGCATTTATTAGATAGTCAAATCTTTAAAAAAAGCCAGATGATGTCAGACTTGCAAATTAGGAGTAAACAAATATATTTTAGATGTATTTTGAATCTTAATAAAGTACTGGCGAAGCTGCCTAAGAGTCAAAAAAAAAAAAAAAATACTCTTATACGTAAATATAATTAGAATTAAAAAAGAGCAAATAAAGTTTACAAGTCATAAATATAAATATATATTTACTATTATGTAATACTCTTTATTTGTACTAATCGTTTCATTCAGTGTATAGATATAATAAAAGCAATTCAAGTTTATAAATTATAAACATATATGCATATTTACTATTACGTAATATCTTTCATTCATATTAATCTTTTTATTCAGTATATAAGTATAATAAAGATTATTTATTAATTATAGGGATTAAAAAGAGCAATTTAAATTTACAAATTATGAACATAAATATATATTTACCATTATGTAATATCCTTCATTTATATTAATCATTTATTCAGTATATAGAGTAATAAAGATTATTTATTAATTGGTGATCTACCAGTCAACCAGAGAATGATCATAGTAAAAAGTGACTCAGATTACTATATAAATTTACTATAGTGCGAATGTGGCATGCACGCATCTAAAATTTTTTTTTATACTAAGTTAATCATTTTTCTAACTTAAGAGACTTTTGAATTATTTTATTTAGTATGTAAATATAATAAAGATTGCTTATCAATTATTGAAATTAAAAAAGGGCAATTCAAATTTACAAATCATTATCATAAATACATATTTACTCTTAT